TTGTTAACTTTGAAACTTCGTCCATCATTGCTTGAGCAAGCAATCCCATTACCTCTTTCACCCGCTTTGCCCTCGAACATGTCATCGGGCCTCCTTTGATAATCAATGGATCTCGTCTCGGGCTTGTCCTCGTCGGGCTCGACTCCTGGATCATATCAAGATGGATCCTAAAAGGGACCACATCTTTACTCGTCGAGGTAGATAACATATGCCCTTCAATGACAAAAGTCATGGAAGAAGCGTCAGCATGGATGAATATTCAACCCCATGCTCAAGAAAGATAAAGTAGAAAAGATAAAAAAAAAATGCGAACTTCTAACACTTATACAAATTTTTAATGAGACTAAAAGCTGAAGCACGTCAAAAAACAATAACGTATGTAAAATTCATCAAACATTCAGAAAATTAACACAAGTATAACGAAATAAATTTCATTTATTGAATCTTGTTACATTGGGGGCCGAAGCCATTTACAATGGATAAATAAAAAAGAAATTACAAGAACCTAAACTAAGCAGGTGGAGGAGGGGGATTGGTGCCAACTTTCTGTAGGTTAGGCATCGTCCTTTGCCTTGTACTAGTAATGTGCTTTCTTCAAAGCTAGTCATGCCTAATGTAAGGAGGACGATTTTCTCTTTGCCATTAAGCAGGCGACTAGGCTGGTTGTTTGATACGTGACATAGGATAAAGAAAGATGAGTTTTTGAGCTAAATGGAGGCCATTTATCTTATTCACAAGGAAGTAAGAATCAAAAAAGAATTAAATGGCTAGAGCTCATTATGGGAATCAGAACTGGAACAAGAAACCAAACTTAATCCCCGTGCTTACCTAATAACTCGGTTTATTTGACTTAGGCACTCACAAGGGTAGCCCCACGTCGAGCTGACAATCCAATAAGAACAAAGGTGCCTTATCTAGAGATTCTCTTACTAGTCTTGATATCTGCGAAATGCAGGTTTGGGTCCTTGCATTCTTTTTCATAAGAAGGATGTTCCAAAGTGTACATACCAAACTAGTCTGAATTCAACTCGTCCCTTGAGTTGAATGACTTAACCATTGATAGTAGGATGCCCATTTCCACATGGAGAAAATGATAGATGGCTATATGGTGGCCTAAGCTTCATGCTTGAATCCACAAGAACTTCAAATTGTGAAGGCTATTTTTTATCAAGCATGGTTGGATCCACAAATATCTTATTACCTGAGGACATTGATGCCATCTGATTTCTTCCTTTCATAAAAAGTCTATAACATTGTAAGGTTGATTCTTCAAAAATAGATGTTATGCAAATGTTTATCAAATCTCTCTTTCTTAATCATGCCTTGCTTATAAGAAGTTCGACGTGCAGGTCGTTTTGTACCCAAGGACGAGTATGGGTACATGTGACCTAGATTGAACATTTGATTTTACACAACAACAAAATTGTGATTTCGCGACATTCAAAAAGTACAGTGTTATTCACTGAATTACACCCATATTTTTAAAGTTTGTCGTGAAGATTGTGATGAAAAAATTAAGTACCAAATAATATTAGGCGAAGTAAAAAGTTGTTGTGAAATGTGAGAAGTTGCAACAAATAATAAAGAATGTCGCTAAAAATATAAGGCAAGTAAAGCACCAAAATATTTTTAGTGAGAAACTTATGGCGACAAACTTTTATTTCTTGCAACAAATTGCTTGTGATGCAATAGGGTCTACTTTTTGATATAAAACATATTTGTTGCTAAATATTCTATAGTTGGAGGAAATAATCGTTATAAGAAAAATATTTTTTTGCAACGGACAAAAAATGTTGTAATAGGTTTTTTACAATGTTCACCCATATATTGTAAGATCTAATATTGTCGTAGATTA